AATATCCAAATATAGTGGTTTTCATATTGTTTATATATATATCATATAATATAATGTAATCCAGGCCAATTCAAGTGTTGCATTCTGTGCATCTGCAAACACACATTTACAACAAAGGCTCCGCTACACAAAGAAGCAGATGCATAAACAAGCTGGAAGAATCTCGTTGCAGTTTTATACAATTCGCTCACGTTTAAGCAAAAATGCAGTACAGAACATTAAAATCCAAATGAATACATTTATTTTTAAAACTGCATATGCGCCCAACTGAGAGTGATCTGTAAAGTGACAGTGGGAGCGATGGTTCCACTTAAATGCGCATGTTGTTGTTGTTGTTGTTCTAATTTTAATTCTCATGGGAATAAAAGCAGAGATGTAAACACAACACCGTTGGAATCATAGAATAATGTTGAAAGGGTCTTCCAAAGGACAGCCAGTCCAACCTTCTTCTGCCACAAAGGAAAACACGATCCAAGCACTCCCAACAGGTAGCCAGACTCTGCTTAAAAACCTCCATAGAAGGAAAGTTGCTTGGGCTCATTAGAGTTGGAAGGGACCTCCAAAGGCCATTTAGTCCAACCCCTTTTCGCCACATGGAAGACCTCCTCACCTGTTCAACATCTTCATTAATGACTTATATGAAGGGCGAGAAGGCATGATCATCAAGTTTGCAGACAACACCAAATTGGGAGAGATAGCAATACTCCAGAAGACAGGAGCAGTACCTAGATTTCCTAAATTTCCCGCATAAGCAGTACCTAAATTTCCTACTTAGAATCATAGAATCAAGGAGTTGGACGAGACCTCCTGGGCCATCCAGTCCAACCCCATTCTGCCAAGAAGCAGGAATATTGCATTCAAATCACCCCTGACAGATGGCCATCCAGCCTCTGCTTAAAAGCTTCCAAAGAAGGAGCCTCCACCACACTCCAGGGCAGAGAGTTCCACTGCTGAACGGCTCTCACAGTCAGGAAGTTCTTCCTCGTGTTCAGATGGAATCTCCTCTCTTGTAGTTTGAAGCCATTGTTCCGCGTCCTGGTCTCCATGGAATCATCTTTATTAATGACTTAGACGAAGGGTTAGGAGACGTGATCATCAAATTTGCAGACAACACCAAATTTGGGAGGGATAGCTAATACTCCAGAGGACAGGAGCAGGATTCAAAACAATCTTAACAGATTAGAGAGATGATGGGCCAAAACTAACAAAATGAAGTTCAGTGTGGACAAATGCAAGATACTTGACTTACAGGCACATAACAACAACAGAAACAGCAACAAGACTTTGGAGAACTGTGTCTTTCATTGCTTCCCTGCCTCACCAGATCCTGCAATAAAAAATATCATTCTTGGCACCTAAGTACTTCCTAGTACTTAGGAAGTGGACTTTTTTGGGCCCTAAAGCACATTTTGAGAACAAAAATCTGTTTGCAAAGTTTTGCAAATTTTCATTTTGACCCATATGGAGATTTCAAGGGCTACAAACATGGTGGGGATTCTCCTCCACATGCCAGAGAGGTCATTTGGGAGCCCAAAAAAGTTGCAAAAATGTGTGTAAACCCCTTGGGGGGGGGGGATAAATGAATGTCTCCTATAGGCCACATTTGGCCTATTTCTGGTTTAGTATACTTGTGATAATAGCTCACCCTTACTGAGCTATCCAGGGTGCTGAATGCTCCCTGCAAAAGCCAATCAGTCACTCATGATTTTTGTATTTGAAAATAGGAATAAGGTTTTGGTAAATAAAAATGTTATATTGTTCATGCTCTGTGCCATAAGACTCAAAAGAGTCAGCGCCTGGAAAAACGTAGAATTGAAACCATCAAACAATCAAGGAAGATTGTGGATGAACAATTAGAAAACACAAGGGTGGTTCAAAAAATAATGCCTCCATGGCTCTAACTTTTCTTTCTTTCCTAGCTACTGGGCTACCTATGCATGATTTGATAGAGGGAACCTTACTCTACTGAGATAGTCTTTTCTTTTTCCGACTGGCTGTTTAGAACTGAATCTGAAGCTAAAAGAAAGAGTAGTCATTGAATATTCAGGCAAAAAAAGGTTGTGCACCTAAGGAAATGCATACTCACTTGAAGGGTGTTTATAGGGATGCTGTAATGGACATCAACCATGTTTAGGATTTGACCCCTTCTGACTTTTACATGTTTGAACCTCTGAAAGATAACCTACATGGTTTCAGATTATATTTATTTATTTATTTGTTTGTTTGTTTACAATATTTATATTCCACCCTTCTCACCCTGCAGGGGACTCAGGGCAAATTACAATATACATACATACATACATACATGGCCATCATTCAATGCCATAGACACACAACATATATTGAAACACACAGAGGCTATTTAACATTCCAGCTTTCATGAGGGTATTCTGTCCACCAGGGGAGCTGTCGCTTCACTGTCCATTAGTGACAATGATGGAGTATTTCCTCATTCTTTTTGCACGGTTGCTGGAGATTTTTTTATGCCATTATAAATTAGTTAAATTAGCCTACCCACATAAGCGGTACCTAAATTTCCTACTTGACAGATGCAACTGTCTTTCGAGCTGCAAAGGTCGACAGCAAGCTACACAAAGGTCAGAAGCTCACTTTGATCTGGGCTTCGAACTCATGACCTTTTGGTCAGTAGTGATCTTAATGCAGCTGACTCCCAAAACAGCTTTAAAATCATGGGTCACAAAGCCAAACCCTGAATTTTTCCAAAATAGTTTTGATGCCTGGGTCAAACGATGGTGCAGATGTGTACAAATTGATGGTGACTATGTTGAACTGTAGTTTTACATAGAGGAGAGTTCAGGGTAAGATCTGGAGCAACTTCTGCTGTTATAGGTTCATTCATAATGGTTTTAAGGACACAGGAGGCAAATCTTTTTGACCCACCTGGGCTATAATGATTACATGCAAAGGATGAAAATAGAATGAGCAGAAGCAACAGTACTGACAGAGCTGTGCTTTCGTAATGGTATGTGGATGGTGATGGGAGATTGAGGACATGTATAGATCCAGGAATAGACGATGTAACAAGACAGTTGTAATGTTGTATGTCAGCTTGTTCAGCTTGTGAATGTGTCTGATATTCATGCTGATGCTCATGATGGGAATGATGTTCATGTTGACGTTCATGATGGGAATAGTGATGGTCTTCCTGATGATAGGCCTGGGAATGACGGCTTGCTTGGGCCTGAGCTGGCTCAGGAAGATTCACAAGGCCACATTCCTGAGAGAGACCTTTCACCTCTTTTCTCAGAACAACTGTCTGAAAATGATGCTGAGATTGATTTGCCAGGAGTTAATGAGGGAGAGGATAGTGAAAACTTGGCCAGGAAACAAAGTTTTAGTAAACAGAGGCAGAGCTTTCAGAGACTGAGGCGATCGGTTCATCTACAGCAAAAGAAAGATAACAAACAGTTATCTGGTGAAAGTGAGTCCTTCTGTGGAGGTTGAGAAGATCGGGATATAAAAAAATTAAATAAATAATAAATAAGTCAAGAAGAATTCTTTCCTTTCAGTTCTGGGTTCTGGAAAATGTTTATAATGATTTATGGGAGACAGTTGCCTCAGTCGAGTCAACGTTATTATTTTATCACAGTCTTGCTTTCAAGTGCTCTGAGTTTCATGTACCAAGTTTTTGCCAAGCTTAAGTTTTGCCTATGGGATTTTCCTGCTGTTTTGTTTCATGGTTTCAAGTGCCTTGTTTCATGGATTTCTATGGCGTTACAGTAAGTTGTAAAAGGATCAACACCAAGTGTGTATGTGTTAAAGAAAACTTTATACTGTTAACCATTATGTGCAGCTGCTAATCTAGGTCAGCTAGTAAATTTGAGCCACACCCAGTGGGGTATAACTGTATGTGTTTTAGAATACAGTTCGGCTTTTGCTCTGAGGAGCTTATGCTCACAGCACTTTGCTCAACCATTTGCGCTGCTCACTTGAAGGAAGATGTAGAAGCCATGCTCTTTGCATTCTGTAATTCTTACAAGGACTGTGTAAGTTTATTGCACTGTTTATTTTGTATGCAACACAGCACGTTTATATTTTGACTCTGCTGACAAGAGTAAAGTTTTCTGTTCTTTTTCCTCTTGCTTTTGTGCAAAGTTATTGTGTCTTTTGCATTGGTCCAGACTAAATTCCACTTAAGCGTAACTTTTTGCTTGATGTTCAGGCAGTACTTCTTGTAGTAAGAGCACGGTCCAGAGTGACTCCCAGGTATTTGGGTGCGCTGCAATGCTCCAGTGGGATTCCTTCCCAGGTAATAATCCTCAGAGCTCAGGATGCTTGTCTCTTCTTAAGGTGAAAAGCACATGTCTGTGTTTTAGATGGATTGGGGATCAGCTGGTTTTCCCTGTAATAGGCAGTAAGAGCACCTAGAGCTTCAGAGAGCTTCTGTTCTACCATCTCAAAGCTCCCTGCTTGAGCAGTAATGGCACGATCATCAGCATAGATGAAGCTCTCTGTCCCTTCTGGCAGTGGCTGGTCATTTGTGTAGATGTTGAACATGGATGGAGCAAGCACGCTCCCCTGAGGCAGGCCGTTCTTCTGTTTCTGCCATCTACTTCTCTGGCCCTGGAACTCAACAAAAAAGCTCCTGTTTTGTAGCAGATTTCCTATGAGGAGGATGAGGTGGTAGTCCTTTGTGAAAGTCCTGATCCTGAAACACAATCACAGGCTGAACTCCAACATGGAGGGTCCAAGTTTACCCATGCCTGATATATAGCACAATGGTGACCATAGCATACAGTTTGCAAACTGAAGTCCGGACATAAAACAGAGCCAATCTCCCTCCGCTTCTACTTTCTATTCTCAACGCCTTCCCTTTAAGCCTCTCTTCCACTCCTTCTGCCTCCTTTTAATTTCATTTTCTCCTCATTAAAGAGATTACCCCGAGATTTGTGCGGCTTTATCTCTTGTTTGACGGCTCCTTTTTCCGCCGCCGGGCGTGATTCTGAGCGTAATCCTTCCCTTCCCTTTCCCTGCTGCAGGACATCTTCACCCCGGAGTGCAAGTTCAAGGAGTCCGTCTTCGAGAACTACTACGTCATCTACTCTTCCACGCTCTACCGGCAGCAGGAGTCCGGCCGGGCCTGGTTCTTGGGCCTCAACAAAGAGGGGCAGATCATGAAGGGGAACCGGGTGAAAAAGACCAAACCATCCTCACATTTTGTACCAAAACCCATAGAAGGTAAGAGGCGCTCAGCATGGATGACTATCTGCGAAGGATCTGCCGGGAGGAAGGGGCCCATCGAGTGGGTTTGGGCCGTGGGGCTCTTTTTCCTTTGCTTTCCTGGGCACATGATTTGGGACTCATCAAGTGAGCATGGCACATTACATGCAGGCAATCCCCAAGATAAGAACAGGAGAGGTTCTATAGGTTTGTTCTTAAGTTGGGTTTGTATGTAAGTCGGAACAGGGACTTTTTAAAAGTGTAAATCTGGCTAAAACTACGGTATGTGTTCCTTAGCTTTGAAGAGCATAGAGAAGGATTCACACCCTTGTGGTGTTTGTTTGACCGTCTTGTGCTCCACCTCGCTTTCTGTCTTGGTGAGAATTGGATTTTGAAAAATCTGGAAACAAGGATTGAGGATAAAATGTCAATGGAGACACCTTTTCTCCACAATAATAACTCTCCCAGGAGTGGATTTCCCTCCCTCCCTCCCTCCCTCCCTTCTTTCTGAGGGGCAGATTCTTCGCACTTCCTATTGTCTCGGCCTCGTTCTTAATGCGAGTTGTGTGTAAGTTAGATGTTTGTAACTCGGGGACTGTCTATACTTGTACCACAGCAGCAACAACTTCTTGAGGGCCCAATACACCAGAACACAGGAGCAGAATTCAAAACATTTCTCAACACGTTAGAGAGATGATTGACCAAAACTAACAAAATGAAGTTCAACGGTGACAAATGCAAGAGACTCCACTTAGGCAGAGAAAATGAAATGCAAAGAGACAGACTGGGGGACGATGATGCCTGGCCCGAGAGCAGGACATGTGAAAAAGATCCTCATGGACAACAAGTTAAACATGAGCCAGGAATGTGATGCGGTGGCAAAAAAATCCAGAGGGATTTTGGCCTGCGTCAATAGGAGTCTAGTGTCTAGATCCAGGGAAGTCATGCTCCCCATGCTCTATTCTGCCTTGGGCAGACCACATCTGGAATCCCACTGTGTCCAATTCTGGGCACCACAATTGAAGAGAGATATTGACAAGCTGGAATGTGTCCAGAGGAGGGCGACTAAAATGATCAAGGGTCTGGAGAACAAGCCCTATGAGGAGCGGCTTAAGGAGCTGGGCATGTTTAGCCTTAAGAAGAGAAGCCCGAGAGGAGACATGATGAGGGCCATGGATAAATATGTGGGAGGAAGTCCTAGGGAGGAGGGAACAAGCTTCCTTTCTGCTGCCCTGGAGACTAGGAGGCAATGGAGCAATGGCTTCAAATTACAAGAGAGGAGATTCCACCTGAACATGAGAAAGAACTTCCTGACTGTGGTAGCCGTTCAGCAGTGGAACTCTCTGCCCTGGAGTGTGGTGGAGGCTCCTTCTTTGGAAGCTTTTAAACAGAGGCTGGATGGCCATCTGTCAGGGGTGCTTTGAATGCAATATTCCTGCTTCTTGGCAGAATGGGGTTGGACTAGATGGCCCAGGAGGTCTCTTCCAACTCTTGGATTCTATGATTCCAAATGGATCCAAGACTCTGAAAAGACAGAGTGTTTCTGAGGACACGCAGAAGGCTATGGGTATCATTGCTAGATCCGCATGCGCAGCTCTTGCATTGTATTTCCCATCTGGTGCATGATCTTGTGCAGATGCAGGCACCTCTGGAAAAGCACAGCCTCACTGTCACATCCTTGGATGGTCCTTCCATGTTGTCTAAATGGCCCAATCGTTTTTGCGCAGGGACCGGCACATGCCGAAAAGGCCTGGCCAAGTCAATGTGGAAGTCTTGTCTCTTTGCAATTTGCACACTTTTCAGGCAAGGGGTTAAATCCAATTTTAAAATGGGTTTTGATCATTCATTGTATTTGTCGTGTCAGGGCAACCAGTCAATTATATTACATTTCTAACAAAGCAAAGCTAACAAACAGGCAAAATACAAAGTTTGCAAGCTTGGTATTCCATTAAATGTCCTTTGACCAGTATCTGGCCCCTTGGAGTGCCTCTGGTGTTGCTTCAAGGAGGTCCTCCATGGTGCACGTGGCAGGGCTCAGGGTGCATTGCAGCAGGCAGTCAGTGGTTTGCTCTTCTCCGCAAACGCATGTCGTGGACTCCACTTCGTGACCCCATTTCTGAAGGTCGGCTCTGCATCTCGTGGTGCCAGAGTGCAGTCTGTTCAGCGCCTTCCAAGTCGCCCAGTCTTCTGTGTGCCCAGGGGGGAGTCTCTCATTTGGTATCAGCCATTGATTGAGGTTCTGGGTTTGAGCCTGCCACTTTTGGACTCTCGCTTGCTGAGGTGTTCCAGTGAGTGTCTCTGTAGATCTTAGAAAACTATTTCTAGATTTAAGTCATTGACGTGCTGGCTGATACCCAAACAGGGGATGAGCTGGAGATGTCTCTGCCTTGGTCCTTTCACTATTGGTTGCTACTTCTCGGCGGATGTCAGGTGGTGCAATACCGGCTAAGCAGTGTAATTTCTCCAGTGGTGTAGGGCGCAGACACCCCGTGATAATGTGACATGTCTCATTAAGAGCCACATCCACTGTTTTAGTGTGGTGAGATGTGTTCCACACTGGGCATGCATACTCAGCAGCAGAGTAGCATAGCGCAAGGGCAGATGTCTTCACTGTGTCTGGTTGTGATCCCCAGGTTGTGCCAGTCAGCTTTCGTATGATATTGTTTCTAGCACCCACTTTTTGTGTGATGTTCAGGCAGTGCTTCTTTTAGGTCAGCGCACGGTCCAGAGTGACTCCCAGGTACTTGGGTGCGCTGCAATGCTCCAGTGGGATTCCTTCCCAGGTAATAATCCTCAGAGCTCGGGATGCTTCTCTGTTCTTGAGATGAAAGGCACATGCCTGTGTTTTGGATGGGTTGGGGATCAGCTGGTTTTCCCTGTAATAGGTAGTAAGAGCACCTAGAGCTTCGGAAAGCTTCTGTTCTAGCATCTCAAAGATCATTCATGACACACTGCCATCGAAAATCCTAGGGATTTCTTTCAACTTGGCACCACAAGGGATCTATTTCTGTCTCCCTTTGAAACTCTTGTGGGGCTGACTGACCCACAGATGGTGTGGAAACAAAACCCAGTTGTATCGATTGTGGAGAGGCAGGCTTTCCATCTTGTTTGTTTTGACAAACTTCCGAAATTAAAATGCATGCAATAACAATGGTCTTAAGCAATACCAATTATGTCCCTGTTACCAAGGATTCAGTATCGATCCTCAGAGTTGACCACAAAGGCGGTCAAGGGCACGAGGCTCTCCTTGCATTTGGGTCACGTCTTGACGAAGAGTAAACGCCACCCGTGTTTGCTTGACATACCCATTTCCCACTTGTTATTTTGGAACAAAATTGGTGTAATCCCATTTGTGGAAACGGAGCTTAACATGCAAAGTGTCCGTCCTTCTTTGCTTGCTTGCCACAACATTCACAAATGCAGGAGTTTAAACTGCCCGGTCTGGGATTATGCATTGGCCGCTGTGTCGGACTGGATGAGGGCGATCAAAGTGAACTTGAATCCAGACAAAACAGAGGTCCTCCTGGTCAGTTGCAAGGCCAAACAGGGCATAGGGTTACAGCCTTTGTTGGATGAGGTCACACTCCCCCTGAAGACGCAGGTTCACAGGTTGGGAATGATCCTGGACTCATCGCTGAGCCTGGAACGCCAGGTCTCGGCAGTGGCCAGGAGAAATTTCGCACAGTTAAAACTTGTGCGCCAGCTGCGCTCATACCTTGGCCATGGTTGTCCATGCTCTGGTAACATCCCGTGTAGACTACTGCAATGCGCTCTATGTGGGGCTGCCTTTGAAGACTGTTTGGAAGCTTCAAATGGTCCAACGGGCAACAGCCAGGTTGTTAATAATCTATATAAATAAAAATGTAATGTTTGTTTGTGGGATTAACAGGACTCAAAAACCACTGGACGAATTGACACCAAATTTGGACACAAGACACCTATCAGGACAATGTATGTCCTTCACTCAAAAAATGATTTTGTCATTTGGGAGCTGTAGTTGCTGGGATTTATAGTTCACCTACAATCAAAAAACATTCTGAACTCCACCATGAATGGAATTGAACCAATCTTGGGACAAAGAACTCCCATGATCAACAGAAAACACTACAAGAGTTTGGTGGGCATTGACATTGAGTTTGGGAGTTGTAGTTCACCTACACTTACAACAAAGATCTGCATAGTCCAAGCCATGGTATTCCCTGTAGTCATCTACGGATGTGAGAGCTGGACCTTAGGGAAGGCTGAGCGAAGGAAGAGAGATGCTTTTGAGCTGTGGTCTTAGAGGAAAGTGCTGAGAGTGCCTTGGACTGCGAGAAGATCCCACCAGTCCATCCTCCAGGAAAGAAAGCCCGGCTGCTCACTGGAGGGAAGGAGACGAGAGACAAAGTTGAAGTACTTTGGCCACATCATGAGGAGGCAGGAAAGCTTAGAGAAGACAAGGATGCTGGGGAAGGTGGAAGGCAAAAGGAAGAGGGGCCGACCAAGGGCAAGAGGGATGGATGGTATCCTTGAAGTGACTGGACTGACCTTGAAGGAGCTGGGGGTGGTGACGGCCGACAGGGAGCTCTGGCGTGGGCTGGTCCATGAGGTCACGAAGAGTCGGAGATGACTGAACGAATGAACAACAAACAACAACAGTTCACCTACATCCAGATATCACTGTGCACTCAAACAATGATGAATCTGGACCAAACTCTACACAAATACTCAATATGCCCAAATGTGAGCACTGGTGGAGTTGGGAGAAAATAGAATCTTGACATTAGGGAGTTGTAGTTGCTGGGATTTATAGTTCACCTACAATCACAGAGCATTCTGAACCCCACCCATGACAGAATTGGGCCAAACCTTCCATACAGAACCCCCATGTGGGCCACAGCAATGCATGACAGGGCACGGCTAGTAAATACTAAAATAATAAAACTTTATTTGTACCCCGCTACCATCTCTCAAGGGACTCGGTGCGGCTTACATGAGGCCAGGCCCGCAATACATCAATAATAAAGCAATAACAACAA